GTTGGGGCACTGGGGAGTGAACCACTGATGGAAATCCTGTCTTTGCTGCTCTGGGCCACTCTGCCTTTCTAATGAATGAAGTAGTGAAGCAGGGAGAGGTGGCAGGATGAGTATTCTTTTCCTTTGTCAATTTACTATAATATATTCTTTCTCTATCAATTAACGTTGTAACAAGTTAGCTTTCCCCTATCCTTATTGAACTTTAAAATTTAAAATACACGCTTCAGTCCCCTGTGTTCGTTTTTCTTAGTTGAAGCTTAAATTGTCTCATCCTAATCAGTTAGCCTTTAATGGCTATTTGAGAACTGTGTAGGTATAAAAGGTATTCCAGGATTATCCTGAGTGTGCTGCTACACTCCTAGAATGAACCAGTACTCCCAGAAACTTTGGTTGCTTTAAAGAGAAAAGGGCATTTAGAAGCCACAAGCTGTGTTCTAGGGCATTCTGTCTGTGCCCTTTGTTTTTTGTTTTTTTGTTTTTTTTTTTTTTAAGTTGTAATAATCCTGAGTTTGTATGATACCTCCATTAAAGACTAGAAGATGGGCCCGGCACACTAGCCTCATGGCTAAAATCCTCACCTTGCCTGTGCCAGGATCCCATATGGGCACTGATTCTAATCCCTGTGGTCCTGCTTCCCATCTAGCTCTCTGCTTGTGGCCTGGGAAGCATTCGAGGACGGCCCAAAGCCTTGGGAGCCTGCACCGGTGTTGGGGACCCAGAAGAGGTTCCTGGCTTCGGTTTGGCTCAGCTCTGACTGTTGCAGCCATTTGGGGAGTGAATCAACAGACGGAAGATGTTTCTGTCTCACCCCCTCTCTGTATATCTGACTTTCTAATGAAAATAGGAAATAAATTTAGAAAATACTAGAAGATTTTTTTCCTTAATTTGTTTACTCATATTGTTTTTTGTTAGTGCCAATAGTCTTGTTTTCCTTTATTATCAGAGGTGATTGGAATGTTACATTTACGTAATATTCATTTGTTTTGTCCCACATTATCATGTAATTGTAGATTAGCAATACCAACAGCAACTCTAGTGATTACTAAAAATAACTTAACGAAAAATATTTGCAATTCTAAGTTTGTTTATTTGAAAGGGAGCGCATCAGAGATCTTCCATCCACTAGCTCATCCTCAGATGCCCACAACAGCCAAGATAGGACCAGGCTGAAGCCTCAGGCACGCCATCCTTGTCTTCTTATGGGTGGCAGTTGGCCAACTATGTGCGCCTCATCTGCCTTCCCAGGAACATTGGCAGGAGGCCGAGTTGCAAACAGAGTAGCCAGGGCTGAGCCAGGCCAAAGCCTGGGTTTCGCATGTTGAAGGCAGGAATCCAGGACTTCAGCCCAGTTCTGTTGCCTTCCCAGCCACCTTAGCAGGGAGCTGGATCAAAGTGAAACAGTCAGGACTTGAACCAGTTCTCACTCATGTGAGCAGCTCACAGTGCTGATGCTGGCACCAAGGTAGCAGTGTTGTTCATAGGATAGGTTCTCATTGCCTATTCTATGTAAATATTCCAGTACCAGCCATTGTTACTGTTGTGATGGATGGATTAACATATGCAGATTCTACAGGAGCAGGCCAGCATTCAGTCTTTCCACATCTCATGAGCATTGAAACTATATTTTATGTATTTTAATTAGTTAATTTCTTTGAAAGTCAGAGGGAGAGAAAAAAAGAAAGCCAGAGGGACAAACAGAGAATCTTCTGTCCACTTGTTCATTGCCCAAGTGTTTGTGATGGCCATATTGAACAAGGCCAAGTGCCAGGAACTTCTTCCACATCTTTCACATGGGTGGCAGGGGCCCAAGCATTTGGGCTACTTTTCCTAGGCCAATAGCAGGGAGATGGCTGGGAATTAGAGCAGCTAGCTTATGAACCAGTGTCCATGTGGGATGGCAGCGCTGCAGGCTGCCGCTTTACCCACATGCCACAACACCAGCCCCAAGCTTCCTTTATTTCAGCAGTTGAAGAGCAGATCACTGATATCCGTTGAATATCTTCTTTCACCTGCACTGCGCTGTTAAGATCAATCACTGGGATCAGGTGATATAACTGTTATCTGCCCAAGCTTGCTGCTATGTGACTGAATGAGAATTCAAACCTGGGTCTTGCCAGTAGCCCAGATTTTTCCCTTTGTATCACTCTGACTCAGTCTTAGTGTGTAATTATAGTAACGTCTTATAATGCATTCAGAGTTTAAGATATTTCAATTAACTTTCGTCAGTCTAATGCCATTTACTCTTTTGCAGATACAATTGCAAATAAGTTACATTTGCAAAAAATTAATGATTTTGTGTTATCACCGGGACCCCAGCCATACAAGGTGAGTACTATATTTTTGTTTATGTGGAATATTACGAGTTGAAACCTTTTCCTGGTTTTTGGCAGTTGTGAAAACATTAAGTAGTTAAGTAAAATTATTATTAACATTCAGTAATTATTTGTATCCGTGTGTCTCAGGTTGCTGTCTACGTTCCAGGGAGCAAAGGCGCCCCTTCGTTTGTTAGGCTGTATCAGTACCCCAACTTTGCCGGGCCTCATGCAGCTCTAGCCAATAAAAGTTTCTTTAAGGCTGATAAAGTTACAATGCTGTGGAATAAAAAAGGTATGATCAATATATTTTATTCCTTATTTATCAAGTCTTTGTTATTTAATGAAGTCAAGTATTAGCGTTTTGTATTCTTATCTGTGTTAAAAAGCAAAGTCCTTGCTTATTAATTAGCTTGAAATCTAACTAAAATATTCACTGTTACAGCTACTGCTGTCTTGGTAATAGCTAGCACAGATGTGGACAAGACCGGAGCGTCCTACTATGGGGAGCAGACGTTGCATTACATTGCAACGAATGGAGAAAGTGCTGTGGTACAATTACGTGAGTATTGCAGTCGTCTTCTTGGATAAAGACAAAGATAGTTTTAAAAAAAAAATACCATGCCATAAAGGTGTGGAATCTAAATTTTTGGATCAACTCCTAGAACTCAAAATACTTCAATCACCTTTAAGATAAAAGTCCTGAGTAGGCACTTAGTAGGCACTTTAAGATAAAATTCCTGTATGGGCACATCATCCTCCAACTTAACCCTTCCTTGCCAGATTAGCCCTTCAGGAGGGAGCTTCCTGACTTGGGACCACAGCTTCGGCTAGTGAGAATTATGAAGAATATCTGAGTGTTATCACTTCTTATGTGGATGAAATAAACTAACTTCGAAATACTGGCAGGCAGGTCACCATTTTTTTCTCATTTGGATTGAGTATTTGTGTAAGATACCCTTTCTTAGTAACTATCCCTAATGAAGTCACAGATAAAACAAGACTGGCTCTGCTTTCCACTGTGTGACATCCACACTTCAGTAAGCATTGGTAGATAATAAAGTCAACATTTATGTCAATGTAGAAAATATTGAGCATTTAATGTGTTTTAGAGACAACTGGCTAGCCATTTGGAACAAAAAATTAGTATCTCTAACTCTTCACCAAAATGCATTCAATTGGACCAGAAAAAAACACAATAAAGAACTAGAAGAAAACATGGAAGAATTATTTCTCTAATCTTTATGAGCCAGGGAACCTTTTTTTCTTGCCAAGGATCATTTAGGTATTTATTTTTTACGTCATTCATAGACCATACAAAATCATGTTAAAAAATTAACCTGCTATAGATTTATTGGGTTTCAATTCCCACCTCTGGTTGGTCCTGGCAGAGCCAAATCAGAGCATTTTGACATGTGCTATCCATAACAAAAAGACCTTCAAAACAAGGGAGAAGGAGCAGGCATTCTACACAGTGTTTAAGCTGCTACAAGGGACACCCCCCTCCTGTAGGGTAGTGCCTGGATTCAAGTCTCGGTTCTGGCTTTCTGCTAATGCTTACACCTGAAGGCCACAGGTGACAGCATTAACAGTGGAGTCCCTGTCGGCCACGTGTGAAACCAGGGACAAGCCTCAGCTCCCTGACTGTTGTGGGCAGTTGGGAAGAGAACCACATGCTGACCACAGTTATCTGTCACGCTTGGTTTCAAATAAATTCATTCTTTAAAAAAAATTGAACAGGATTCTGTAATGGGGGAAAATGGTAAATTTGACCATATAAAATTTATAGATTGAAAAATAATTTAAAAAAATTAAAATTATAGATTGCATAGGAGCTTCATCTGGTTCCCACATGGGTGCAGAAGCCGCTTCCTTGGGTCATCCTGCACTGCTGTCTCAGGCCATTAGCTAGGAGCTGCATCCAAAGTGGAACAGCTGGAATACAAGCCAGCTTCGTATGGGTGCTGATGCTGCAGGGGCACAATTAACCTGCCACCGTGTAGTGTCCCCCCTCCCCCAATAAATGAGTCTTTTAAAAAATTCATAAATGGGGCCCGGCGCGGTGGCGCAAGTGGTTAAAGGTCCTCGCCTAGCACACCCGGGATCCCATATGGCCGCCGGTTCTAATCCCGGCAGCCCCGCTTCCCTTCCAGCTCCCTGCCTGTGGCCTGGGAAAGCAGTCGAGGACGGCCCAAAGCTTTGGGACCCTGCACCCGCGTGGGAGACCCGGAAGAGGCTCCTGGCTTCGGATCGGCATAGTATCGGCCCGTTGCGCTCACTTGGGGAGTGAATCATCGGACGGAAGATCTTCCTCTCTGTCTCTCCTCTCTGTATGTCCGCCTTTCCAATGAAAAAATAATAAAAAAAAAAAAAATAAAAAAAAAATTCATAAATGAAGTATAATGAATAAAAATTGGAGAAATACACTTTTTAAATGAATAAGTAATAAGAAATTTTAATATTTCAGGTATGCTAATACGTATAAGGCAAAAAAAATAGATGCACAGAGAAAATTAAATTATTTAGAAATGTGTTAGAAAATGCTTAGCTTATAATTAAAGAGGTGGAAATTAAAGCAAGATAAAGTTTTTATTTAGTAGATTGGCAAAGATAATAATTTTAGCTGGCACAGTGGCTCAGTGGCTAAATCCTTGCCCTGCACATGCCAGGATCCCAGATGGGTGCTGATTCGTGTTCTGGCCACTTCGCTTCCCACCCTGGTCCCTGCTTGTGGCCTGGGAAAGCAGTCAAGGACAGCCCAAAACCTTGGGACCCTGCACCCGCATGGGAGGCCTAAAAGAAGCTCTGGACTGCTGGTTTTTGATTGGTTCAGCCTTAGCCTTTGCAGCCACTTGAGGAGTGATCCAACAGATGGAAGATCTTTCTCTCCATCTCTCTGTAAATCTGCTTTTCTAACCAAAATAACAAATCTGATATTTGTTTTAAGATAGTGATAAATTACCTTGGATAGGTGAGAATGTGGGGGCATCCTGACCGGAGCATCTGTAGGTAGGCGTATGAGTTTCGTAACTCTTCGGAAAGGCCTTCTGTTGGTCTGTTAGCAAGGAAGTGGATATGCCCCTTGCTTTTGGGCACATTCATAGTAAAGAATATGCAGTCAGATTTACAATAGAATACATTGCAGCTAAAAACGAATAAAGTATATCTTAGTGTACTAATGAGGAAAAGCCACCAAAGGTAGTACTCGCTGAGATAACGAAGGCCCCAGCTGTCGTTTTTGAGTATGTTCTTAGAGAATGGGATGCTGTATTGCAGCACAAATACTCTGAAAGCTTATGCAAGAAATAGAGTTCATCCGTGTGGGTAGGTGTGTTGTTTTATAGCGTATTTTCATTACAAAGTACATATGTTACACTTCCCAACGAAGTTCATTTATTAACAATAGTAAACTGTTTCAGTAAGCCCAAATTGGCATCTGTGAGCTCATATTGCTAGCATGTCTGCTCAGTAGAGATTCTTCAATCTGTGATTTTGCATTCTTCCTGTAGCATACCATTTGATATGTTTGCGTGCTCTGATTATATCTTTGTCAATATTAATGTAATTCTTTATTACTAACTTGAGATTTTGTATTCTTTTTTCTAGCAAAAGGTGGCCCCATTTACGATGTGGTTTGGAATTCTAGTTCTACTGAATTTTGTGCTGTTTATGGTTTTATGCCTGCCAAAGCGACAATTTTCAACTTGAAATGTGACCCTGTGTTTGACTTTGGGACTGGTCCTCGCAATGCGGCCTTCTACAGCCCTCACGGACATATATTAGTACTGGCTGGGTTTGGAAATCTGAGAGGACAAATGGAAGTGTGGGATGCTAAAAATTACAAGCTGATTTCTAAACCGGTGGCTTCTGATTCTACATATTTTGCTTGGTGTCCAGATGGGGAGCATATTTTAACAGCCACGTGTGCTCCCAGGTTACGAGTGAATAATGGGTATAAGATTTGGCATTACACTGGCTCTATCTTGCACAAATATGATGTGCCCGCAAATGGAGAATTGTGGCAGGTTTCATGGCAGCCATTTCTGGATGGAGTATTTCCAGCAAAAGCGATCACTTACCAAGCAGTGCCAAGTGAGGTACCCAATGAGGAGCCTAAAGTCACAACGGCTTATAGACCTCCTGCTTTAAGAAATAAACCTGTCACTCATTCCAAACTGGTAAGTAAAGTTTTATTATTTTGGTTAGAAAAAATATTTTCATTATGCTGAGTTCTATAAACCCTTTTCTTGTGTTCTTAAGTTACTTAGTACCCGACTAGAATACGTAGTGTAGGACAGAGCTCAAAGTACTTAATTCATTCACATGTGAAGATCTGAGAGGCTGGCTTCTGTCTGTGGTGCTGGGATCCTGTATGGTGCCAGTTTGAATCCTACCTGCTCCACTTCCAATCCAGCTTCCTTGCTAATAGGCTTGGAAAAGTGTTGGAGGGTGGTTCAAGAACTTGGGCCCCTGAACCCACAGGGAGACCCAAATGAAGTTCTGGGTTTGGACTGGGCCGGCTGTGTTCATTATGACCATAAGGTGAGTGAACCAGCAGATTAAAGGTCCTCTCCCTCTCTGCCTTTCAAAAAAAAAGTTTGAGAATGATCTACTGGGTTTGTAGATGAAGTACTCAAATTCATTTACCAAGCTGGGCCAGTAATGTAAGGCAACAGTGAATATAAAGGATGGCAGACAGAAGAGCTTGTGCCGCTTTGTAGGCCTTGGCAACTGCACAGCAGTGGCTGATTTGCCCCACTTGATTTCCAAGGCAAAATGATTCTAGAGGCTCAAGGGGAATCTCGTAATTATTAAAATAGTGCTAGACAGGCAAAGCGAGTTTGTTCTTCTCGGGCCCCTAGTTCCCTACCGCTGTAAAGATATAGCCAGGGAGTTGGTGATATTATGGTGTGCTTTTTAAAGTATTTAGCTTTCCACAGCTCAGGAGAGAGACCTGATGGCCCAGATTTGTTTCATAGCACTAAGGATTAAAAGTGTTCCCAAAATGAACAGTACAATTGTTGCTTTTAGCAAAGTGACCAGAGATGGGCACTGTGGTGCAGTGTGCTAAGCCACCACTTGGAACTCCCACTTCCCATGTTGGGGTGCCAGAGTGCTAACTGAGGTCCCGACTGCTTTGCTTCCCACTGATACGAAACTCCCCCCAGTTGCATTCTGGAAGGTCGGAGGCGACAGGACTCAAGGTCTGGGCTGCTGCTCAGCTTGATTGTGCTGGACTTACGAGAGTGCAGTAGCAGACGGAAGATCTCTCTCTTGCCCAGTTTCTTCTCAATATCTCCTTGTCTTTGTTTTTGTCAATCTGCCTTTCAAAAAGATACAAATAAACAGTAAAAATGAAATTAAAAATGACCATACAAAATCCATCAGTTGGTATTATTTGAGTAGAGAGGGATGTATGGTCACTTAATTGTTAGCCACTCATGGGGCCTAGTAGCCTAGTGGCTAAAGTCCTCACCTTGAATGTGCCAAGATCCCATATGGGCGCCAGTTCTAATCCCGGCTGCCCCGCTTCCCTTCCAGGTCCCTGCTTGTGGTCTGGGAAAAAGTCAAGGACAGCCCAAAGCCTTGGGACCCTGCACCCACGTGGGAGACCTGAAAGGGGCTCCTGGCTCCTGGCTTTGGATCAGCTCAGCTGTGGTTGTTGCAGCTGCTTGGGAGTGAATCAGCAGACTGAAGATCTTCCTCTCTGTTTCGCCTCATATCTGTTTATCTGTTTTTCCAATAAAAATAAATAAATCTTTTTTAAAAAACTAAAATAAATTATTAGGCACTTAGGAAAGTAGATACTTTTCCAAGAAATAAATATCCCTGTGCTTCCGTTATTGCATTTCCATCACAAAAGCATAAAGGTACAGTTTTTCTTCTTGAACTAAAAGAATGTAGCAGTGGTCTGTAACTTCACTCATAGAAATATTCTACTTAAATACATGATTGTTACATTGTTATTTAAATAAAACTACGTAGAAATAATGTAACAAATTAAGCCTTGCAATATTTGTATTTATCATGTTTGTATTTAGGCCAAGAGAAAGCATACAATAGTCTTCAGGTTTAGTCTGTCCCTCCACTGAAAATTTGTTGTATCTAAGATAAAGAAAGAAATAATCCTGACTCATCCTGCCTTCTAAATCCATGTAAGATGGCACAGGAGTAAGAAATTCTAAATTAGTGCATATTTTTTGAATTATTTGATTCATTAAACCATTTGGTTTGTTTTCACATAAGGAAGATTACTTTGAAAATGGTGAAAAGGTAAAAACTGAAAATCAGAATTTTCTGATCTTGAAGATTTCCACTGAATTTTATTTATTTATTTTTAAAAATGTATTTGTTTTTATTGCAAAGGTAGATTTACAGAGAGGAGAGACAGAAAGATCTTCCATCTGCTGGTTCACTCCACAAGTGGCTTCAATGACCAGAACTGAGCTAATTCAAAGCCAGGAGCCAGGAGCTGCTTCTGGGTCTCCCATATGTGGGTGCAGGGTCCCAAGGCTTTGGGCCATCCTCAACTGCTTTCCCAAGCTGCAAGCAGGGAGCTGGAAGGGAAGTGGAGCATTCGGAATGTGAACTGGCTCCCGTATCCTTCCTGCAAGGGGAGGATTAGCTAATGAGCCATCCCACCAGGCCTTAGTTCGTGCTTCCTTTGAAAGGCACAGTTATGGATGGAGGAGGAGAGGCAGAGACCTCTGCTGGTTCACTGCCTAAATGGCCGTAACAGCCAGGGCTTATTCCTCGTCTCCCATGTGGGCGCAGGGGCTCCACACTGGTGTGATCGTCTGCACATCAGCAGGGAGCTGGGGTAGAATTAGAAGAGCCAGGGCTCGAACTGACCCCCATGTCGGACGCCAGCGTCACAGGTGATGGCTTTGCCCACTGTGCCACACTGCCAACCCTATTTTGTGTATTTCCTTATCATTTTTCTTAGTATTTCACTTTTCAGAAATTTGTCAACTGAGTTGGAGCTGAAATAATTCAGTTTAAACAACTGAAGTGAAATTAACATAAGTGAATTAACACCAGCTCTTATTAACTGGAAGGTACTATGTATCAATTATAAATTTATTCTACTAGTTGGAATATGCCACTGCTAATAATGAGAGCTTTGAAAATTTTGCTGATAATTAAAAAAAAATAAGTTTGATAAAGTAGGCTTATTGGTGCAGGCATATGGCTTAGTGAAGCAGCTGTTGGTCAGGATTTCCACATTCCAGGTCGGACTGCCTAGGTTCGAATCCTGGCTCCACTCTTAAGTCTGCTTTCCTGTTAACATGCACCGAGAAGGCAGTAGATGGTAGTTGAAGTAATTGCATGCATAGAATACCTGGGTTGGGCCCGGTGGCGTGGCCTAGTGGCTAAAGTCCTCACCTTGAACGCGCCTGGGATCCCATATGGGCACCGGTTCTAATCCCGGCAGCTCCACTTCCCATCCAGCTCCCTGCTTGTGGCCTGGGATGGCAGTCAGGGACAGCCCAAAGCTTTGGGACACTGCACCCATGTGGGAGACCTGGAAGAAGTTCCGGAAGAGGCTCCTGGCTTCGGATCGGCATAGCATCGGCCATTGCGCTCACTTGAGGAGTGAATCATCGGATGGAGGGTGTTCCTCTCTGTCTCCTCCTCTCTGTATATCTGACTTTGAATGAAAAATAAATAAATCTTTAAAAAAACAAACAATAAAAAGAACACCGGGGTGAGTTCCTGGATCCCTGCTTCAGCCATTACAGGCACTTGGGAAGTGAACCAGCAT